CCTTTTCTAAATTTGCCAGTTTTTTTTTTTCATTTATTTTTAATGTTAACACTTCTTCAGCATGAAAATGTCACTTCCTCAAATCTTGAATCATTAATTTATTCTGTATGTTGTATATACCCAGAGGCTTAAATATACTCATCTATTAGTAAAGGGCTTAGTAAAACAAGCACATTCTCAGATCAGAAATTTCTAACTCATAGGTTTTATATCTGGGTCTGGCACTTGAATTTCATAAGGGAAAATGCACGCATATGGCAGGTCTAGGAAAAAAAAAACAATAACAAATGCAAAACTTATTTTTTAAAGAGTACTTAAAACTTTAATCACAAAACTGAAAACCACAGTACTAAGACTTAAGAGCTACAGGCCTGAGAGGTGAGGCATCACTCCATAGGTGTCCCACGTGTCTTGACATATGGGGTAGGATGAAGGGGAAGCGCTCACAGCTCATCAGAAGTGAAACTAGGGCAGGCATGGTAAAACTCTAGAAGGACATTTATGTTAAAACTTTGTGAATCAAGCTGAGGAAGACAGATATGCTAAAATATGAATTTTATACATCCATATATCTCATATATAGATATATTTGTATAATAATAATATTAATGCCAAAATCTAGAGTTTGGGCTACTGTAAATATACTATTTCATATATTCCTTATAAGTCTGAGAAACTCATGGATCTAGATAGGACTTACTGGTCTTTCTAATGTGATGAAAGGAATTGAAGCTTCGAGAGATTAACTGATTTTTCTAAGGTTGGAGAGGCTAGCAAGTTTGAGTAGGGATTTTAATTGGTATTTCTGGACTCAGAGTCCAAGGCTATTCTATTCTCTACCCAAGATCACAGAGATCTTAAAGTGGTCTACAATCTAATCCTAAATTTGATTAATTCATTTAGAAGCTCATCATACTCTAAAGGAAATAGAAAAATTAGCCAATGAGTTGTGTGCAATTTTCACCCAGTCCTCTCACCAGAAATACTTTCACAATGGTAAAAATACAGCAATCATCATATTGCCTTGCTTTTAATTGTTCTGGTCCATTAAAAAAAATCAAATTTTACACTTGCTAGTAAAATATAAAATAATAACAAGAAAACTTCAATTATATAACTCCTAATAGGAAGCAACAGTATGCTTTGGCTTTGACAATGACTCTCTATGCAGCCAAGATCAAATCATTTGATTTTTCTGTCCATCACCAGCATGTTCTATAAGGTGAGGGAGTTAGAAAAGGTTACTCTTCAGGTCCTTTCTCTCAAAGGCTCTGCACCACTCTGTGGAGATGCACAGAAGTAATTTTGTGGCCAAATAAGGGTACAGAATGAGTGGTCTCTGGAACTTTCAATGAAAACTAGCAAAAACTTTACAGAAACATCCATGGTTGTTGAGCTTTCTTAGTGGCTTCTGTTACTCTGGGTCATGTTGAATACTGACAGGACTCAATCCAAACTAGTTTGAAAAATGTAGGCTAAACTGAGGGAAAAAACCCATTTATTTTTAACCACAGTAAACTTTTGATCCCATTAACAGGGTGAACATTTTCTTTCCTGACTCCTGTCCTGATCCACTCAGGGTCTTACTCTTCTCACTGTCGCTTCATTCCCTTGCCCCTCTCTTTTAATCACATAACATCGTATCTACAGGGTGATAGGCTTTGAATTATTGAATTCAACTACTTTCTACACTGAACAGATTATTGTTCTAGCATATGGGCTAATGTGGAAAAAGAGGTGGTGAATAAGGCTGAAGAAGCTGGCGACGTCTTGACCGATTATTTATGTCCTCCAACATAGAGATGAATCAAACTCTGTGTGCTTCCCGCATCTCTAGTCTAGCTTAGATGCATTTGAAGGGAGAATGTACAGTGCTTTTATGCTTGAGTTAGGAAAACTAGGTCTGCTCATGGCTTTGCCACTGGCTAGTAGTTAGTCAAAGTGTTTCTCAATGCCTCAGCCACCCTCATTCAGAGGGGGGATTTAGGATCAAGGTGTTTTCAGTTCCACAGAGCTTTTGGGAGGATCATATGGACCATGTGTCATCTCTTTGGAGAATTCTATAGGAAGCCTGGATAACTGCAGTGGGGTCTAATGACTGGGAGAGTCTGGAACATGAAACTCCATCCACTCATTCAGTGATATAGGACCAAGGCAAACAGGGCCTAGATCACCAAGGGTGCAGTTAGTAATTGTAGGGCAGCCAACACATTTTAATACGTATAGGAAAGATATGGTAGAAGTTTATGAATAGTTATCCCTTCAGTGGACTAATTTAGAATATAGATCTTAAAGTTTAAATGACCAGAATTTAAATCTCATTTATAACTTATAAATATAAACTTAAGTAAGGACTTAATCTCCCCAAGTCTCTGTTCACTTATCTATAAAATTAAAGTAAAAATATAGCATTATCTCTGAATTTCAGTATTTCCATGACATTGAGATAATATTATTTTTCTATAGTATTATTGTGACTTAATAGATATAAAATAGTAATATACTGTACACACATTTTATTAGGGTATTAATATTTGGGTGAATTGAGATTCAGTTTGGGGGTGTGGCTCGTCATGGAGGAAATGAGCATTATGGTGGGAAGTTGAATGAATATTATTTTGAGATCCACTCAAGAGTACAACTTCAGAGCATTAATTCTACCAGCAAGGAAGAATCTATCTCATGTTCCGGGCTGGACTTTAGGGAGTGGGGGATATGTAGAGAAAGAAATAAAAAGGCTTAAAGAGCCTGTTTTTTGTTTTTTTTAAGTAGGAAATATTTATTGAGAAAAAGAAAGCTTCTGTCTAAAAGAGACAGCAGGGGAACCAGAAAGTGGGTTGCCTGCTCACCCCACTTTTCTTTTTTCCTCACTGAGTTTATTGGTACATTTTAGGTATACAGTACAGTTATATTCATTACTGGGATCTTGTACCTCTACATGACAGGTCTTGGTTCTCATTTTTTCCCCTTGTCCCTGCCCTCCCCTCACCCCCTCCTCCCCTCCCTATTTACAATCACCTTTTTCCATTTTTCCACTTTCATATATTTTTTTCTTTTCCCTTATTACTTTTCCCCTACCCTTCCCACTTTCCCTACACCTTTAGCCCTTTTCTTCCTATTTCACATTGTCAATTATCTCATTAGGATCTTATGTACTATTATAGTTTTTTACACCAGAGAAACTATTCGGTATTTACACATGTGTGACTTATGTATTTCACTTAGGAATATATCCTCAATATGTGTCCATTTTCCTATGAATGACTCTAATTTCTCATTCTTTACAGCTGAGTAGTATTTCCAGATGTTTTATACAGCAAAGCCATGTTGTGAGGGGGGTAAAAAGTGGGACAAAACTATATGACCCAATGGAAAATTAAAAGGTGGGCATGACATGCGATAAAACCATGACCAACCAATAAGATTACAAGTACAGTCACCCAGGTAATATTGATTAAATTGGGATCCAATGGGGAAACAAGTCACGCAGAAAGTATAGGAGGAGCTGAGCAAGGATTTTTGGTGGAAAGGGGTGGGTCAGGGATCTTCGTTGGAAGATTTTTTTTTTGTCCCCCACCCAGGTGATTGTTACCTATTTAGAATATCAATCACTGTTATTCATCCTGTCGGGTGTGGTAGTTTCTCTCCTTTTACAATTCTGGCCTTCAGTGAATGTCCTGATTGTCCTCCTTGTTGACTCCTCCTGGGCTGGCCCTGTGTAACTACAAGATATCATATTAATTTACCTATCCACAATATTCCCCCCTCTGAAGAAGTACCTCTAACTGCTGTGAGGGGGCAAAGGGAAAAGTCTGTTCTGGCTGTTTCCAGCTCATGAGGGTTGAGGTTATGATCAGCAGTCAGAGTTACTCTACAGAGGGTCTATCTGTCGGCCCTCGAGAGGTGCCAGGCATTGTCATCCTGGGAAGCCACATAGCTTTAAGTCTGGAGGAGACAAAGTCAAAGAAACTTTTTAAGAATACATGGACCAATGAGAACCAAGGCCTGTCATGTAAAGGTACAAGATCCCAATGATGAATGTAACTGTACTGTCTACCTAGAATGTACCAATAAATTCAATTAAAAAAAAATACGTGGACCAAATACTAAGGTCGGTAGGACTGCTATGAATATAGCCAACAGGGGTTTCTACCAGGAGGAGATAGTAATAGCCTCTCACAGAAGATAAGGAGAAGGTCCAGGAGACTTCAGAATCCCACATAGATTTCATACTGTACAGTATAGCAGTTATGAGCAGTTTACAGGTGAATCTGGTGGATCCCAGTAAAAGAAGTCTAGCACATTTGTCATTGGTTCATATGTGTGATTGCTTGGAGTTTGGCAGCCTCTAGGCAAGAGTAAATAAAACTTTTAGGAAATTAGCGCATGAGAAAAATCTAAGCATGAGCATGCTAGAATGAAAGGGCAGGTTGAGGAGAAAGTCGCACAGATACTGAGATAGTGAGTGATTGTAGTCTGTTGGCTCTTAGATTCTTTCACTGGTAAAGGTTATCTGTAAATTTGATACTTTATCATGAGTGTCTCTACTTTTATCTGTAAGAAGATAAGAGACAATTTGAAGAAGACATCTCACTATGAAATTTGAAACCCTAGCTGAGCTCTTATAGATTTTACCATAGTTTTTTCCTAATGATGCATAGCCATGGTCAGCTACTGGTAGAACTGGAAACTGTCAAAAGGGGTCAGTGACTAGAGCCCCTTTTTATATCTAGCTTTATTACTATGGCATTATTTTATACCTCTTTTGGTTATTCTTTTCTATGGGGTGTTTAAGACCAAGTTAAAGTGAGACCTGTGTCAATCACTATGAACCTCTTGCTATCTATCAAGGTCAATTAAGTCTCCTCAGGCATTATTTTGGAACCGTGCATACAGATTCTCAGCTCCTCTGTCAGTAAATTGTTTTGTATTAAGAGCTTGGCTACATATGTTGCAGCACATGAGCCTAGAGTGGAGTCTCTGGAAGCCTAGAATTCTTGGTTCAGATACAACATATACTTAACACATGGTAGGAGTTCAATACATATTTCCTTCAGTAGATGGATGAAATAACTCATTTTGTGGCCACGGAAGAGTGTCTGTATTCTTCAGCCTCTTCATCAGTAAAATGAAGGCATTGAACTAGCTGACTTCAAACATCTGCTCCAACTTAGAATATCTTTGACCCTTCTCGTTCTGAGGTTTACTGAGGAAAGAGAAATAGCTTGTAAAAAGTTGTTTAAATTATATAATGCAATGAAAAATGAGCTGCACTTATTCTTTCCAGCCATGAAAACATTTCTAGTAATATAACTTAATTGCCAAATCAGCATCCTGTTAATTTAAGCTAATGGAATTTGTTAATGTTACTAGTTTAATTTCATAGAATAGTAGATGAAGGGAAAATTTATTAATTATGGATCAATTTCTTATGATATGATACTTAATTTTTTGGAACTTTGAAGATAAATAATTCTTTTAAAATTTCCCATGTCTCTCTCACCCTACTAGCAAATTAGTCTGTTCTGTCCCAAGTTAAGCTACAACTCTGGAATTCAGTAACCTAAACCATGCTCAATAGCACCAAAGACTCAAATAAATGCAACAGTTCCCTAGTAGTCTGATCAAACTATTGTCATAGCCCAAACACTTAGGTTTTGTTTTATTTTACTGTATCCTCTCTACTCTCTCTTTATTCCAATCTATTTTTGCTTGATGTAATGATTCAGTTCTGATGGTAATGATGAAGATTCACAAGATGTTTATTTAGAAAATGCTTTATGTTTAAGGCAGCCTGTGCATACACTGACAGAGATGTGGGTGGAAAGAGTAAAAACAGAGCATTTATTTAGGATTTCAAAATCTAGGTAAGAAAGGCCAAGAGCTCCATTTAAAATAAATAAAAGCAAATACGTAAGAATATTGGTAATAAAGATAAGAACACAGATACAGATTTGGGATTTTATGAATAGAAATAACAAGAAGTGACCAGTTAGGTATGTCTAGATAAAATATGTTGAAATGACTTCAAAGTGTCTAGTTTAAGATGTGGAATCTGAACACAGCGAATCTAAGAGAAGTAGGTTTGGGGTGAGAATAAACCTGTGAATTTGGCTTTGGATTTAGGATTCATGGTAAAATTTTAGACATTTGGGTTAGAGGGAGGTTAACAAGGGGAATAAAGATTTGGTGTCAGGCTAGGGATTTAGCTCAGTGGTTCTACCACCTGCCTTGCAAGTGCAAGGTCCGGAGTTCAATCTCTAGTATCAAATAAACAAATTAATATAAAAAAAGATTTGGTGTCAGTTATAGATAGGTAAAATAATGGAAGAGGAATTAAATTACTGGGAGTACCATGTTTAGGAGAGAGGCAACAAAGGAAAAGAAAAAAAAGTAAATGAGATCGAAAGTGTTCCATGAAGTAGAAGAAAGTCTTCTACAAAGTAGTTGCGGACAGTAATGCCACAGAGATGAAAGTTGGGGAGTTAAGAGCAAAGTGCAGAAATTATGGCAAACTCTGATAAGATTTTAAAAAGCATTATCTTTAAATAGCTATGCCCAATGGTCTTCCTTAGAACTGAGATAAAGAAGCTGAATCTGATTTGCTGAATGCTCAATGAATGAATGAGGGACAAGGGACTAAAAGCCACAGACAGACACTGCTCATAAGAGAGGGTTGGCAAGAGAAGAGCTGGGGAAAGCTGAGGTAGTAAGTTATGAGACAGATAAGGCATGCTTGTGGGTTTTTAAATAGATTTCTCCATATATTGAGAGTACTGCAGGGAATTTGATAAAGCAATCCTTAATGATGTGGGAGGAAATGGAGGAGAGGTGAAAGGTTGGTTTTACAAAATTGTGGTCATTCTCCTGAGGCAACACGGGAACACGGGAAAGGAAAATTGACTGAAATTGTAGAGATATTTTTAAATGGAGACAGAGAGAGAGAGAGAGAGAGTATGAATGGGAGAGAATATTACCTGAAATCAATAGTCCTTCCCATGCTAAACTTTTTCAACAGATAATTCATTGTGCATCTCTTTCTTGTCAGGCAGTGTGCTGTAATCTGGGGCTACAGCAATATACATATGTATACAATAAATATGTATTTAGGACTGAGGCCCAGAGAAGCTGAATGGTGTCAAATGTAGATATAGTACATAGCAGAATTGGGATTTGAAACTAGGTGTGCCTAAATTCAAAGCCTATTTCTGTAAGTATACACTATGATCCCTTTGCAAGCAGTAGTGATTGATGATTAAGACTACACAGCATTGAAGGTGATATGATACTTAACATGGTTAAATATTGAATTTATGCTGGAATAAAGAGGACATGCAGCCAAAGACAATAGGAAGGGGAGAAGAGATTTGTGATGTGATTAATGCCAGGAGCAAGTGGAGTGGCAGAATTGGAAATAGAGAAGGAGCTATGATCAGAAGAGGGACTTTAAGTTTTGCATTTTGGAAGTGGAGGATTTCCATGTAATGATGAGGAATAAGGTGTGGCTATGCATATAGGTTGTAAGGTGGAAAATTCAGCAAAGAAAGGTTATATATAGGAGAACTAAAAGAAGATATCAATTTGAGTTTATAACAAGGCTAACAATCTCACATGGCTTGATAAAATCTAGAGTTTTCTATAAAATGGAGTACTACTCAGCCATAAAGAATGAGAAACTAGAGACATTTATAGCTAAATGGATGCACATTGAGGCCATATTTTAAAGGGAAATAAATAGGACACACGTGTGTAAATACTGAATAGTTCCTCTGGTGTGAAACACTAAAAGTGTAAATAAGATTAAAAGGGTATAAATGATGCGTGAAATAGGAAGAAAATGGCTAAAGGGGTAGTGGGAGGGGTAGGTGAAAGGAAATAAGGGGAAAATTACCATTATCTTTCTTTTCATTAACTTCATAGGTACTTTTTAGGTATACAGTACAGGTACATTCATTATTGGGATCTTTATTTTAACTAAATATACTAAATATATATTTATTTATATTATTATTTATATTAATATTTATATTATATTATTATTTAACTAAATATACAAATTTTGAATCGAATCCTCTGTTACACATGGGCAACTTGTCTGTATGTCTTTCAAGTATGGTGGCAGAAGATACAAGAGTCCTCTGATTCCCAGGGACCTTCCTCACTCATTAGGGTATCTTAATTAAGCTTCCTTCATGTAGTCTCCGATAAGCACTTCCCTCTTCTAAAAATTTTGAAGAATCCTCTGTTACACATGGGCAACTTGTCTGTATGTCTTTCAAGTATGGTGGCAGAAGATACAAGAGTCCTCTGATTCCCAGGGACCTTCCTCACTCATTAGGGTATCTTAATTAAGCTTCCTTCATGTAGTCTCCGATAAGCACTTCCCTCTTCTAGATAATACCTCAGGAAATTACCACCCACATTTCACCTGAGAGTCCCAGCTGTTTTCTTCCCACTCATATTTTGGGTAGTTCTATAAATATCTTTTCTCTCTCCCTCTCTCTGTCCCTTCCTCCCTCCCTCCCTTCCCTCTTTCCTTTCCTCCTCCTCCTCTCCCTGTGCCTGTGCCTGTCCCTCTCCCTCTCCCTCTCCCTCTCTCTCTGCCAGTGCTAGAGATGGCACCAAAGACTTGAGCGTGCCAAGCGAGTATTTTACCACTGAACAGCACTTTGTGTCCCATATCTCTTTTTCATGTAGTCCTTTTCCAGAAGCAAGTATAATTACTCAAAGAAGAACAATAGCAAATGCATTTAGCTTTCAAAATTCTACTGCACATTGTTTTGCTATTGTGCTGATGTGAGAAAGCTAAATTGTTTCCAGTATGTTGACTGAGGAGAGAAGTGAAGACTTGTCCAAGGTTGTTTTTCTCCTAAGTAAAGGAATCAGTGGGGAAAAACTATAACTTCCAGTGTCCAGCTTCACTCTGAAGAGCACTGTTTTATAGAAATATGAGTCTTTGAGGTCGAAAAACATGCTTTAAGATATCAGGTAATGATAAAATCTTATCCTCAATGTCTTTGCAGAAAAAGGCATTGCATCACTTCCTCAGTCAGGTCCATCCATCTTGGATTATTTGCTTTTCTTCACCATTAGGTACAATCGGTATCTATACAACTTCTGTCCAGGAATCCCAGTCGAGTAGCTTCAGCCACACACAGATTCCCACCACATTTACCTAGATAGATTTTCAGTATTTTTAGGAACTCTTCTCTCAGGCTATGTTTTTCAATTATTTTATAGGGTGCATTTTCCAGTCTCTTCTGTTGAAGTCTCACTCATCTAGACCTTATTTCATTCATTGACTTCCTACACCATGGAATCTACAATTCAGTTCAGCAGTTGAGATGTATTCCTTTTAGTGGATTATAACACAGTTGAACTTTTACTTCATTCCACAGTGAGTAAGTCCCAAAGTTCATGCTGACTTTTTGGGGACAGCTACTAAACTTTCATACTGAGAAATCTTTTAGAAATTTGGATGATAGGGTTTTTGGTAATAATTCTATAGTAACTGTGCTTCTAAACCCATATATCTAATAAAGGCCTATCAAAGTCTTTGCAGTAATCATTATCGAGACTGGAAGGGTAGCATCTAGGAATTCTGAGTTGGAAAGTTATATCCTATTTAAACTATAGTAATTCTATTACCTATTGAATTTTATTTTGTTAATTTGATTAGAAGTACATTGTTGACAATGATTTAAATTTCTCCAGTTTTTAATTTTTAATTTACATTTTAAATTAAAAACAAAATTAATATGGTCTGAAAGAAATATCGTGCTTCTGACCCAATCATTCACAGTTATCCTTTGCATCAAGTCATTTCCTCTCACTGCCCCAAAGTTATAATCTATCATAAGGATGAGTTTTACAAGTTTGTAAACAGTTTATAATATGTAGAAATGCATACGACAAAATTTAAATTAAGTTCCAAATCCTAAACATGTTCACTTAGCCAGTATTTCCTGATGGTCCTTCTGCTACTACCTTTAGCAAGGACGACCATGTATAGTATTGTAAGAGAGTTTTACCTTATGATGAACTTTACAAATGGGAATCAAGCTGTAATTTGACATTTGTGGCTTGTTCCTTTATTAAATACAATCTGTAATGATGTCTAGATTGGTACTTACATTTCTTGGTAATTGACTCTCATTACTATACTATGTAACATTCGATTGGTGCATGCATTATAGCCCTTCTGCAGTTAATAGATGTTTGGCTACTTGTCGGGTAATAGCCTGCCTATTGGGTTACCACTGTTTGAACTTCTATTACCACAATGTTTCAGCTGTCTGGAACTTTATAGAAAGGGAATTCAATGCATGTAGTCTTTTGTGTCTGGCTTCTTTCACTATGACATCTTTCAAATATCTTTGAGATTCATTCAAGTTGTTACCTGGTGTTTTAATGCTCAAAAGACCTCAGTTTCTTACTCTACACAAGGATTTAACTAAATGAATTCTAAGGACTTTCTGAATTCTGAGAAGGAGTGAAAAGCTCTTGTCACTGTTTTGTGAGAATTAAAATGGAAGAATTTTGACAGACTCCATTGCCATGACACCATAACAATACTGAGAATGACACTTTTGGATGTGTAATCCAGTGGGAGCAGAGACATTGCATGTCTGGTCAGGGAGCATTTTATGCACCTGTGTTGTGTAAGTTAAGAAACAGCATTCTAGCCTAGATGCCCTCACTGACTTCTGAGCTCTCCCACATCCAGCATTCTTTCTATATGACTTACTAAGTTGGATTACCCACATTACAACTTTAAAATCATCGATAAACAAGATTAAAATAAAACTCTGGACAAAACTCCTGTATAATTTGGTTGGCAATCTATAGGTGTAGTTCTTAACAGCGGTATTACGGGGTCAGACGAACTGGTATTTGAATTCAGCCCCTTTACTTCAATCTGTAAGAACTTGAACAAGTTGCTTAAACACACCAAGTCTTTGTTTCCTAATGTGGAAGTGGAGATAGTAATACCCACCTCACAGGCTGTCATGAGGATGGAATGACGTGCATGCAAACTTCTCAGAGTTCCTGGAACATGGGAGTGCTCAGTCAAAGACAGCTACCAGTGCTGCTGTTTCTTCTCAGGATATTGTCACCTTGTGCTCCTGTGGCTCCAGTTTCTCACTGAGTTCCCATTTTTACACCAATCCATTTTTTTCATATTTTCTGGAAGGAAGGTTGGTATTAGAGTGAGTAGTGGACAGCCATAGGAAAGACATTTTCTATAGAGGATAAAGTTGGGCAGTTAAAAAAAAAGAGTGATCCATGGCCTAGAAGTGCGAGCCTTGAGTTCTTAACAATTTCTCTAGTCATAAACTTCTTGTGATTCTGAATATAGCACTAAGGGTGCATATCCAAAGAAAATGAAATTTGTATCTCCAAGAGACATATGCACTTGCATATTTATTGCACCACTATTCTCCAAAGCCAAGACATCAATCAGCCTAAGTGTCCATTGCTGGATGAATATATAAAGAAAATGTGATAAATATAAGCATGGAGCATTGTTTAGCCACAAAAAGAATAAAAGTCTGTTGTTTGCAAGACTGATGGAGCTGGAGGGCATTATGCTAAGTGAACTAGGAAGTCAGGAAGTCAGGAAGACGAATAGTTTTATCTTCAGCATCAGTCATATGGGGCTGCTCTAGCTGATCACAAAGGAGAGGACACAAGAGTGGTGACCAGAGCTCAGGGAGGGTAGAAGAGAGGGAGGTGGAGAGAGTGTAGTTAATGGGTACAGGGGTGTAGTTGAGCTGGAAGAATAACTTCTAATGCTTTCTAGTACAGTGTAATAGCTATAGTTGACTGCCATTGATTGAATATTTCAAAAGAGTAAATAGAGATGATTTTGAATATTCCCAACAACAAAAAAGGGATACATCTGAGGTGGCAGACATGCCAATTACCCTAACCTTACTATTTACACATTATATACATGTTTTGGAATGCTTTCCCTCTGTCCTATAATTACTATGTATTAATTGAAACAAAGATTAATGAAAATAATGAAATAAATCATTGACCTACCATATTGCTCTTCAGAAAGGCTACACCAATTACAACCCCACCACAGTGTGAGCAGTCCTGCTTTCTACACACTCTCCTACCATTATTAGTGACTTTTAAAAAAATCTTGTAAATCCGAGTCATATCCTATTCCCCATTATTGTGTACTAGGCACACTCTCTTTGACTAATTAATTCAAAAAGTTTTGAGAGAGAGTTGAAAAAGGGGATTATCAGAGAGAACAAAGGATAAAATAGAAATAATAGTAATACTTATTGAAAGCTTATGATTGCCAGAAACTATTCCAAGCAACTTGTATGTGTATTGATTTATTTCATTTTAATATTTAATTATGATGCAGAAACTCTAGAATTTATTAGTAATCAGAGGCACGGAGAGGAGAAATAACTTGCCAAAGTTTACAGTTAGTGGCAGATACAAAGCCGGACAATTTACCTCTAGAGTCTTTCTTCTAGTCATTATTATCTTCTGACAATTTAGAAAATGTCTGACTCATAATTTTTTATTTAAGTAAAGAAATAGGATAATGTAGTATGTAGGTGACTCAGCTATCAAATACTCTGGTACTTATGAAAAAATACTTAGAGCAGAATAAGCCACTGATGATTTACTTGGGGCTTGGTTGAAGTATTTAAAGAGATAAACTACCTGCTTTGCATCTCTGCTCAGGTGATCAGGACAATCGTTATGCTATTACCATCACTGCTAGCTGGTAAAAGCTTACTCTCTGCCAGGCCCTTAGTTACGAATACCTTGGATATTAGTGGCAATTCTCATATTAAATCACTTTCTCCTAAATGGAGCTAGGTTAAATGAAATCTCTAAGATATCATAAATACGAGGTGGCAGACCTAGACTAAGCCCCATTTGTCTTCGTCTAGCTCCAAAATGCTTCCTCTTCCAAAAGTGACAAATAGAGGAATAAGAGCACATGCTTATAAGCCAGGGTGATGTGAAGGACAAAGGACTTTTGTAGATTTAGATATATTCCCATAGGTAAGCTGTCACCAAATGAGGTGGACTTTGAAAAGCAGAGGGAAAAGGGAAAATCCTGGCTGGGAAGAGTCACTGAAGGATTTTTGCAGTAGAAGTCACAAAGCAAGATCAGTTTTTTTTTTTTAAGAGGAGCTAGCAATAAGTACCATTTATTGAGCAGTACTAAAACTTAAGAATGTTCAAACCTTATCTAATTAATACAATTAACTAATTTACTTTCAATTAAGGCCTAGAAATTTTAAATAAATTGCTGATATTTTCATGGATGACAAATAGTATATCCTGGATTCATAACCTGATCTGTGTGATTTTAAAGTCCATGTTCTTTGCTTCGTGGCTTGTGAATGTTTCAAGGATGTAAACCAGGAAACATTTTCAGATTTGTGAAGTTCTTTGATTTTTCTGAGACAGAGTCTTGCTAAGTAGCTCAGGCTAGCCTCAAACTCCCAGCAGTCCTCCTGCCTCAGCCTTCTGAGTGCAGGGATTACATGTGTGTGCCACCACGGCCAGCCTCAGCACTTTCAGATTTGAGAGTGTCAGAGGCTGGGCAGTGAAGCCACGGCTAGTTGAGGAGCTGGCATCAATCCCTTTTCACAAAAGGAAATGTACAGGAACTTATACAGTTATTCTACCAGCCCTTTTCTTGTGTTGGGATGTTTTAATAAGTCTTTGTGGTTGTGTGTGTGTGTGTGTGTGTGTGTGTGTGTGTGTGTGTGTTACATGGTCAAGAAAGGTGTTTGTTAAATGTTTTGGAGGAGAAATTACAGTGGTGCCTTGGTTCATGACTTTGATTTTTTTCCACTGTTCTGGTCACAAACCAAGTTGGATGAGAACCAAATCAAATTCAATGGTCAGGTTCAGTGTTGATCTTATGGGGAAATTTGATTTGATTCTTGTCCAGTTTGGTTTCTGACCAGAATGGTAAAGAGAATTGAGTTGGTGAACCAAACTTGTTAATGAAAAGTGGGATATTAAGAGACAGGAAAGATTTAAATTGGAAATATGAGAAGGTAGATATTAAACTAAAAATAATTAACTTTCCATGAATGGTGGCACACGCCTATAATCCCAGCACTCTGGGAAGTTGAGGCAGGAGGTTTGCAGGTTTGAGCTCAATCTTGCCGACTTAGCAAGAATCTGTCTCAATATTAAAAATAAGTAAAAAATAAATAACTCAGGATGTAGCTAAGAGGGAAAGTCCTGGGTTCTATCCACATTACTGAAAGAAAAAAACAAAAACAAAAACAAAAAGTAAATTGCTCATCTAGTTACTTAAGAGTGGAGGGAGTCTAAGCCTAGAGCTGGAGTATTACTGGGTTAGCCTTGACTGCGGTACTTTCTAGAAATTTCATTTTAAAGTTGAACTATTGTATCTATGTACCCTAATGAGTGATGAAACAGCCAATCTAGTCCATTACTCAAAAGTATTACTTGACTTTTCTGGTAAGTACTCTTTAAGTAGCATAGCAGAATTCGTTGTTGCAGAATTGACTAATCATCAAGATAATTAGTGAATCTTTGAAGCTATTCCTGGCTAAAAAATCATAGAGCAGTGTTTCCGAATCTTTCCAGTGGCATTTTGAACAGGGTTACTTACTGTCAGAGTGGGTGTCTTAGGTTCTGTAGGGTGTTTGCCAACATCTCGGTCACTGTTCATCAGAAGCTGTAATGCTCTCTAATTGTTAACAACAACAAAAAAAAAACAAAACAAAACAAAAAAGTCTCCAGACATTGCCAATGTCCCCCGAGGGGCAAAACAGGTTCTAGTTGAAGGCCAGTGGAGTAAAGCTAATACAAATGTAAATGTAAATTAGAAATTAAACTCTCATAAAATGCTACATATATATAGAAGATGAGTCCGAGTTTTTTCCCTGGAGTATGGAGTGATGAGAGAGAAATAATCTCTGAATCAGACACAAGTCCAGTCTGTGACCCAAAAGGAAGCTGTGGTCTGGAAAATCACACAGGCCTGGGTTTCTCAAGAAATGGAACACATTTCAGCTCTGCCACTTTCTAGCTATTTGTCCTAAAATGAATGACTCCCTCTTTTCAGGGCTGATTATAAAATGAGAGGGTTTAAACAGACTAGAATACACCGAGGACCATAGGAGCTCTGAATATTGTTCACGAATCTGTAACTGGTTTTTGAAATGTGAGTATGCTGAAGATTATGTACTCACGACGACCGGGTTGAATATATTTTTGTGTCTGAGCTTAGCCTAAGAGAATTTCCCACATTCTTTTTCTTTTTGCCTCACGAGGCTCATTCTTACTGCTTAGAAAAGACGATCTAGCAAAGACAGTTGTTTTAGTCTAAAATAATAACTCTTTTTTTTCCTGGAAAGTAGGCCCGTCCATTAGAAGTCTGACGGTGTCAGCTCTTTTTGTTGCGCTCATACATGCAAGGTAAGTGGGAAAGCAGTGGAGCATGAGCTTCCCTGAGAACGCGGACTCCTGTACTTGTCTCGCTTTCCAGAAAGCGACGTCACAGGATATTCAGCATTTCCGCCCTTGCTGTCTGCCGGCTGCCATTTCTCCATTGCGTCATGAGTGTAAATGAAAGATGGCTCTGACTCCCGAGCCTTGTTTTCCACACACCAGCTAATTAGGCAACATGACAGCAGGGTGGAGTGATACTTGTGCTCTGAATGTCTCCACACCCACAGTGGATTTGGCCTGGTGCCGCTGCAAACCACCCTCGGAGCAGTGGCATGTTATGCAACCACACCCAAACGACAACAAATACCAACTTTTAAGGACTGACTTTAATTTAAAATTGCATATGTTAGTTAATCTAAGAGCAAAAGAGCAAAGCTTCAGTTCTTTCTTTCCTTTTCTTTTTTCCCTCCCACCTCCTTTTCTAAGCAAACCTCATTTCAGCCTTGGGAGCACACTGCCAGGCACGGGGGCTGTAAAGTTATAGAAAAGATAAACTGGGCTCAGGAATGTAAATGATTTACCTGAAATCATGTAGACAAGTTGAGTCATCCAGTCTTTTTCTTTTTTTAATTAAGTTTATTTTCGGTATACAGTACAGTTACATTCGTCATTGGGATCTTGTACCTTTACATGACAGGTGGTCTTGGTTCTCATTTCTCCCCATTCCCCTGCCCTCCCTTCACCCCCCTCCATCCTTCCCTATT